TCCTCTGCTGGACTTGCTACCCCCACGATAGTAAAGTGTATCAAACTATATTACACTGCAGACTGGAGTCTCTTTTTTTTTCTGGTGAAAAGAATAATGTACAAAATAAAAGGTACATCTGTTTTTTTCTATTACTTACCAGCAGATGTTTCTTGATGAGAACTAGCTTCAGTGTGTGCTTTTGTTTTGTCTGGTATGTTCTTTGTATTGTGTGCTTTTGTTTGCCTGGTTATGTCTGTCTCTCTTTCTCTCTGCTGATCTGCGGGGTCCATCGCAAAAGAGATCTTGACTGCTCGACGAGCACTGAAAGTGGACCAGACAGCTGCAGCTGATTCAGATCTCTGCCGCTAGAGTCCTACTAAGACCGGGGGAGTATATCATATTACTGTAGGCCTCAGATCTTTAAACTGGCTTCCTGTCGTAAGGGAATGGACTACTGGAAATTCATGCTGTTTGTTTATAAAGCATTGAATGGTTTAGAGCCAAAGATACTTTTTTTGATCTGCTACCTTGTTATGAACGCCACTACATTTTAAAGCTGGGACTATCTATTCATAGCTTGCACTGCCCTGCAGCTGCACTGTATCTTTTATTCTCCTTAATGTTTCATCATATTTTAGCCAATTTTTATCTTATACTTTGTTTTGTTTCACTCTCATTAAAATCCTTACATTGAATTACCTGGTTGTTGAAATGTGCTATATACATATGAATTAAATACAGTTATATATTTCAATAACTAACATCTCCCATTAATCATCTCATGACAGCTCATGCTGCTTACATGTTGATGCATAAGTAAACAATATGATAATGTCATATAATAAAAATTCAGTCACTGGGGACATTTAACTGCACAGCCACTACTTCTACTAACCACATGGGTTGATAATAGTTCTGTACTTTTACCTAGGTAAGATTTAATGCAGGACTTTTACTTACTTACTTTTACTACTGCAATAGGGCATTTTACATTGTTGTATTGGTAATTTTATGAAACATCTCCTCCAGACATGTTTTAAAACATATATACAAATACCCTGCTTAACAATAATGTGTGTCTGTCTGTATATATGTTTTTTTCAATCAAATTTTTATTTCCTCATTAAAATCCTTAAAAGGTCATCTCCTCCTTTTACCTCATTAAAAACTTCCAGAATCTCTGAATATGCAAATATTGTTCATATCTAAAGTTTTGCTGCTGGATACAAGATGTCTCCTACTTCACTGTAAAGTCCATTCTCATTGGATGTGCACTTGTGACTTTAAGTTTCTACATCACACTGTACAAGTTGATACTGGATCAGGTTTGACATCTAAACTATTTGTGATCATGCTGGTAGGCCCCGCCCTTAAAAATCTGATTTTCAATGAACACATAAACTTTCCACTGTCAGCAGATGAATGTGAAAACATCCTTCTAGTGTCAAACTTTGCACACACATAACAACAGCCCACTGTAGGAACAAGAAAAACAACTGATTTTAGAGTGGAGGGGGACTTTAAGTAAAAGATCTAAGTATTTCTTCCACCACTGGTCTACGGGGTTTGACATTATAATGGCCTGAAATCAACAGCATTCTGTCAGTCTGATTTTACTTGGTCTCTTTTGTTGGATTCTGCACGGGAGCTCTGCTGTCCTTTGTTTTTTACATCCTGCCACTGCTGTTCTCCGACAAGTTCAAGTTGCAGAAGAAAAAGAAAGCTTTACCTTTCACTCTATGTCTGAGGAAAAGAACCACTTATCATATTTGGCTTCACCAAAGGGCCACACACACACAGAAACAGTCACTGAACCTTACATGCACTAACATCCTGTCCTCGGATCCTGTTCCCATGAAGTATGTAGAGTGTGTGTGTGTGTGTGTGTGTGGCGGTTTTTTACCCTTACTTTGCCGTTCAGGTTTCAATTTCTACCCCATGTGATAGAGTGGGACATAAACATCTGTGTGTGTGGTGTATGTTCTCAGCATCTTCTATTTTGTGTAAAAGTGCTTAAAAGTAGCCTTAAATATCCTCAAAGCAATACGTAATGACAGTAATATTTGAATCAAAATATATTATTCTACTAAATCTTATGAGAATTTTGTTCAAATGTTTATGTGTGTGTATGTGTGTGTGAATGTATGTGTGTGTGTCTGTGTGTGAGTATCTGTGTTTTGACAAAGGCCAAATGCAGCAGACTTCCAGACCCCTTCTTCAACAAATAAATGCTTTTATTTTTAGAGGAAACATCAACAACAGCAACATTTTTTAGAATGCTGCACTGTAAAAACAATAGGTCAAAACCTAGTGTACGTATGACTGGACCTGTATGGTCAATGTACTCCTGAGGATGTAATTTAAGCCTGCCCGTCCCCCCGCGGTAAAGCTTTGTTTATGCTCAACACAGTGTTCCAACACCAAAAGCGAATCATGGCAGCTCAGGTTGTGCACCTGCCAATTTTTGATTTGAAGATGAACGAGTTCGAGCATGACTCTAGTTCATTATAATACAACTGAGAACTTCACTACCACAAATTCCAATAAAACCAAATAAACTAAGAAGTGAAGTAAAAATTTGCCAAAATTCTATCAATTGAATCAGATGTCCGTCAGATATTCATTAGTCCCAGCCTCAAACCACATCAAAGAGTGATCCTGCTTTGGACTGAATGATCATATTTATCAGTGCACACATTTACATACAGCTGACGATACAGTGTCAGCTTACAATGTTTACATCACAGTTTATATCACAGTGGTTTGTCAGTAAGAAACACAGAGAGCAAAAAGCGGAAAAGACTTGTAAGTGACAGTGTAAGTAAAAGTAAAGTAACACATTTCCTACTAAGATTTTCCTCGTGGAGGCAAAGCCCTTGTTCCTGTTAACCTAATAATAACTACAACTTTGTTTATTATTTTAAATCACAGGTCCTATAGTCTAAAACCTGCTAACAGGTTTTACAAGAATTAGGTCATAAACAAACATATTGAAAAAAATTCTATTTAGATCTGATGATGCCATTTGTCAAAGAATCACCAAGTTGGCATTTATGGAGATTCCTGAACCTCAAATAAAGTCATAAAAGGCTTAAAAGGATCATTTTGAAATGCTTGTAACAAAAAAGAATAATAAAATAATGTAACATTGTAAGACATAGATTATTTACCTCAAGCATGGTTCAAGTCTCTGACTGGAAACCAAAGGCTACATGGAAGATAGGAAATGGATTTAAAAGTTTGACATCAGCAGTTATGTAAAGTATTCATGATTCATAGTTTAATAAAAAAAAAAAAAAAAACATGGCAGCCAGCAGAATGGACCTCGGCACATGCCAACCTCAGTTGCAGCCAAAAGCGCTGCTACTTCAAGGAGACAGTTTCACTATTATAATAATAATAATAATAACTTCAATTTAAAGACTGAAAGCAGGGAGATATAGTCTGTGAGCACAGTTTTGGTTTAAATACATAATGGCAATATCACTGTGAAAACAAACTCTTCAAAACTGTACACTGTTTGGACAGAGACAGGCTAGCTGTTTCCCCCTGCTTTTAGTCTTAATGCTAAGCTAGGCTAAGTACAACCTGACTCCAGGACAAGCTTCTTATCTCTCTTTAAGAAAGTGAATTAGCATTATGGTTGAGCGAGTGAGTCAATACCCATACTCATAAATAGAGCAACTTCGTTTTTTTTTCTTTTTCGGTAAATAATTCTCTTATTCCTATGATCAATAACATCACTCTGCTGTTCTGTAAATAGTTTTCTAATAAATATAACCAAATCAACCCATATCAATTTGAGGAAACTTATGGTTTAAGCATCATGTACGTTAGCTTAATCTCCGCCTATTCCAAGTACGGATACAAATACATATGATTTAGTTGGTACAGATAAAAATACAGATCCGTATAATGTTGTACTTGCTCATCCAAGTTCCTTTACTCAATTTATTGCTTGGTGGGGCTTTAAAACACACGTAGCACAAATAATTTGCTGTCCCATACTGCCACACTGACACAAGCATCTTGATAGATTGTTAATAACCCCAAACACATCTCATCATCATCAACATCAGGGCTCTGTAACTTTTACCTAGCAGTGCTCAGTAAATCACAACTAATCCCCAAAGTTCATGACTCCATCAAAGCCATGGTAAGTGAAGGGTTCCAGGACGGGGCTGCAGGTCTCTTGAGCAAGGCAGGCCATCCTGTTGTTGTCACAGCTGTTCTCTGTGCCCGGGTCAAAGTACACCCCATCAGCAGAGTGGATGGACGGGTCCTCATCAAAGTAGTTGTGTGGCCGCAGCAAGACCCCGCCCCCATTGCCCACTGTTACTGTGTTGGGGATGTCCTCGGAGTGGGGGATGTGGAGGAAGCCGGTGGTCACCCAGGCAACCAGGTCCTGCAGGCACATTTTACACACATCATGCAAATTCCCTCAGCTAATATAACATTTTGTGTGTGTGTTTGTATTATCTTATTATTATTTTTACACGCAGATTCCATCTCAACACACCTCGTCTTCAATGCTTTCGTCATCTTTGATGTATGTGCTGAAGTCAACAGCTGGAGTCCAGATGTTGTTTTGACTGTACAGACTGCTGCTGGTCTGCTCTAAGTCCTTGTGCTTGGTGATGGCAACTTTATACCTGGAGACAGACAGAAGAGGCACAGAGAGTGAGATGGCACTGAATGGCCAGCTCAGCCATGCCTTGTGGCGGGGATTTCAACCCTAGCATCAGATAGAAACGTTGCAATTGAATGATTGAAACCACAGATATGTTCAATGACAACATTTCTAAAATTCTCACTTTCTTCAGCCTGTCAGCTGCAACCCAGCCACACTGAATAACGTTATTGCCCCCCAACGCCAACAAACGAAACATGCTTTTTGTAGATCTAATCTATAGCATAAGTAGATTAGTAGTAGATTAGTAGTCAGCAAACTCACTCAGTAATGTCTATCTAAAGTTAGCTAACCTTAGCTTGCATAAGATCTTACCAGACTAAGTCAGGCTGTAGTAGTAAAACCAAAACTCAGTGTATTGAATTGATCAGTGTGTTCTATTGGTTACAAATTCAGCTTTTAAACTTTTTTGTTCAAATGTTGGTTATTTTTTAAACCAAAATTACGTAGTATTGCTTATCAACAGGATCTTAAAATGAGTTCATGACAAGATGACATAAATGACTGAGCAGCGTGAAAGTCCCCTCTCACACATGAATTGCAACATATTAGTGTTGTCACCAGGGCTTAGGGTAACGTATAGCAATATGTAATTTGCATATGGGTGAAATTTGATGTCCCGTTTGCATCTGAATATTGCAGCATATTAGTAGAAACTGAGCATAGTCAGAAAATTAATGCAATCTAGGACATGCATTCTGCCATCAGGCAGCACATGTATCTTCCTGTCTCAAACATCCACACAGAAACACAAACATACAGTCTGACCCCAGGACTTCCCTGTTCACAGGGGGTCTTGTCCTCTCATTGTTACTTTCCGGTGAGGCTGCAGAACAGGTACTGACTGTGATTCTCACTAGAATTTATTTACAAAAACATTTTATCCTAAGGTAAAATTGAGCCTGCTTGATCCTATATCGACTCCTAATAGTATCTGTAAAACACTCCTAATAGTATCAGTAATAAATATATTGTCTAACACAAATTCTAATATTAAAAGAGCAGTAATAAACTCCTGCTGTCACCTGGCCCAGGACATGGCCCTCTCCTCTGCCTGGTTCTCTGGGAGGTGATCCCCAGTGAAGCTGAACACCTGCAGCCTGTAGGAGCGCTGGTGACCCCAGCGGTTGGTCTTGTTGCTAGCAATGTGGAGATAGCGAGGAGTCTTGGTGTCGTAACGTAGAGCGGCCTCCTGCAGAAGTGTCACAGTAGACATTAGTCCCACAACCCTCAAAAGCTACTTTGTTTACTGAGCACTGGTAGATTAAGACATTTAAAATTTTACAATAACTTTGAGTACATCATGGGTTACTGGCAATAATTGATAAATGGGTTATAAAACAGCTTCTTGAGCTGCCTGATATCCTGCAATATCACCACAATAATAAAACATAACTATAAAACATTAATGGAAGTAGAAAAAGTAGAAAGAAAAGTAGAATTACTGCACTACGGTTGTATACTTCCACCAACTAGTCAAATTGCAGTTTTACATCCATATCTGTCCAGACTCATAAGATATGTGGTGAAGACTTTGAAGACATTCTTTTTGGAAGTCTTCACTATATTGATGGTACATGTATGATTTCAGTGAACATACATGTTGCAACTGATGAATGAAGGGTTATCATAAATGTAATAGATAGGCACAAATGTACTTCATAGCTATATAAAGATGGATTCTTATATATAGCTACAAAATGTGGTGCTTTTGTTTTCTCCTGCATTTTCAGATCACTATTAGCTAGGCGCACTGCAATACGTTTTTTACAGTCATGTGATGCTGATTATGCCCAGAATGAGGCATTAAGTACTGGGCTAGTTACATTAGTTGCATTTGAGCATTAGCCAATGCCTGCGCTCACACCCGTTTTTTTGGAGCACTGTGCTACAACACTGCATGGGACTGTTTTCTTAATCCCGCTACCACTCACTACTGTTTTCTGACCATTACCACCTGCTACCACTTTGTGTGTGTTCCACTCCCGCCTTCTCCCACAAGCATTCTGACCATTACTGACCGCACAACAGAGATTTTGTGTCTTTTTATGTCCCACAGGTGAAAATACATTATTTTACTGCGCTAGTAACAACTTATAAATGTCTCCAATCCTCTATTCAACTTAATTTGTTGACTTCATCTTTCTGGTTGGCGCAAACTAAATCCCCCACAAATATATTTTTTGATACTTGACGAGATTTGCGGATCCCAATCCCAATGCAGTCCTCTACCTTCTACTATAACTCACATGCATTCTGCTGTAAATGTTTGTCACCATTGTCTTTCCTAAATGTAACATGTTTCTCCTAAATGACAGCAAATCTGATCTACAACTCATACTGGCTATAGCATAGAACAATGCAGTTGAATGACGTCGCTACCTGAAATCTACAGCATAACCCAATGTATTTTTATGTTTTATCAATTAATAAAAATCCATCTAAAACAACACATTACTGGCTGAGATAA